CTAACCGTTCAAAGCCTAGTGGTAACTTTCTGTACCACCTGCTTTATTATATTTCCCTTTGTCCCTCTACCGGTATTCTTGGCATGAAACTGAACATCTGGCAGATGTAATTTCACGTGTAATTAATTCATCGCCCTGTCGCAAACAACGTCGAAACTGTTTCAACCAGAAAAATCTTGGTAGCCTGTTTCTGTTATGATATGCTCATCCAGGAAGTTGTCATTATGAATCTGTCTTGCAGTAATACTAGAATTGGCAGTTGACACCCTTGGAGGCCCTAATAGCTACTTAAATTGCGGATTTTATGTCAATCTTCGCGACACGAGATTGTGTTTTAAAATAGTTATTTTATGTAGAATTATTCTGAAAGGAATACTATTAACTCGATACTGCAAACGCTATTAGCACTAGTCTGCACTTGAAATTAGGAAACAGGCATTACATTTACTTAGTGGAAAATAGTCTAAATCACGCCTAAATAGCATTTTGTCTTAAATGCTGTAGCAGTTAGAGTAGCTAGGAGTGTGTATGCTATTTGCACGCTAAATCGTGTTTTTACCAAGAGTTACCGATTAAAATTTTTTCATTGGTGTTTCTGGATTTAGCTAGATTTTGAGTTTCGGAAATTGATGCTAACTGAATTTGTACTGCTGCAGCAGAATGTGATAATTGTTTTTCTTTGCGCTAATTGGTGTATGTTGAACCCGCCTGAAAATGCGTGTATACAATCAGTTACATAGTGCAACTGTGTCCTTATAGGTCATACAAGGTCTTTCGTCCTTCTGTCCATGCTTTATTGTTTTCTGTCCTTCGATAGATTTCATAATTTGTATCCTCCATTGACTTTATTTATCACCGTTCTTTGTTTCTAAACCTGAAACCTGGGATTTGCCTGAAGGCTTTTGACGAAGGTATGTCATTAAATTATGAATATTATTGGACAATTTGCTTCGTCTATTAATTTCAAAACACCCAACGTTTCGGCTTCCTCATCGAGCGATACCATTCAACCTAACCAGCTGGGTCCATTGGAAGTAGATTACGTGCACCCAGTGGATGCTACTAGGTTGTACGGTTTCATCAGATGATGGAGCAAAACCAGGTTCCGAGGCATTATGAGTTTCTAAATGAACAGACGAAGGTAAATGCCTGGGAATATGCATGACCTCAAACACGAGGCTCACTAGGAAACTGTCTTTTGGATGTCATGTTTACTTAATGACCACCTGCAGGTCTGTTTAGTTGTTTGCGAATTACAAAGGCCGGAGAACACTTGCGTATCAAACCCTGTAGTAGGCATAATTTTAAAATCTAACCGTGGATTTTACTGATACAGTTATATATACTTTCTAAAGTTTAAGTTTGTGAATATTATATTTAAACACTAACGTTGGTACCACTAAAATAGGTGGTCATTTCCGACAGTGTTAGTTTCTAACCGACCAGAAATCGTCACACGTTTATTTTGACATTCGGTAACTCTGAATTTGGCCACAGAGTATATTTATAGATATCTTTGATTCTCAGAATAAGCGATGATTATTTTTCCAAAAGAGCATTAAACAACTTATGTTTGTAATGGAGACACGTGTTCTTTAAGCTGATAGGTAACTGTTATTTATATGAGCTGCGTGCTTGAAGAAGCTAATGGACTAGCCCCAATGCAAATACTGTTGATTTACGACTCTTACAACTTCTTGAATTGAGTGAACCTGGGAAGTCTAGCAGAAATTGTTTTGAAGACTGATATAAGGACGCGTCTTTTTACATTATTACTTTAGTACCAGCATTTTGTCTACATGGATTATTTTTGTTTACAGTATTATACAGTATTGATGTGAGGGTAACATTAAAATGGATCTTAGTGAGTTAAGTTGTGAAGGTAGGAGGCGGCAGAAACCAGCTCGGTACTTTGCCCAGGCTTTGGTTTTAGTAGTGTTGAAACTCAGGATTCTTCTGCCACAGTTTTAGTTTGATGATTTCCGCCACCGATAGATATGTAGCTGTAATAAATTAAACCAAAGACGAAGTACAAATAGCATAGAAAGCACCTGTACATACACACGCACATAAAATTCTTTCGCCGAGCGGCGTTCACTGTTTCAGGCCGTGATGTAGACGCCAGTAACATGTTCTAATAACGTAACATCGATGTGTCCATGTGTTTAGTTATTTGACAGCTGTGTAATACATGAAGTGGTCAGTATGCGTCACTATTGTAGTGAATAATACAATATGGGGATAAGGGAATTTAAGCCTGTGGGCTATTTGTAATATTTAGGTAATTCTTTTTCTACTGTCGCATATACATCGGTAAGTAATTGAGAATCGGTTCACGAGAAAATGTCTTTATAAGATGGTCGTAACAAATAAGGAATTTCATCGTTTCATTGGGTTTATTATCTGATTTTCTGAGGCGGAAAAAGGAACATTCCCTAGTGTTAAATATTTATTTTCATTATTATAGTGGTGGTAAGTCTGCGTTAGTGTGTTGGGACTCGTGAAGAACTTAATTTTTCAGCAGTATTTGCTAAAACGAGTGTAATTTTTCGCGCAACTTACTATTTTAGAAGCAATTAATAGTTCTCATTTTACTGCATGGTCGTGTTTCGCTTGCATTCCCGTTGGGCTGTACGCTGCGCCATCTTCAAATTACGTACTTGAGAACGCATTGGTTACTTTTCCATAACAGTTCGATTCCTTACAATGTCCCCGTGGACACACAAGGAAAATATGAAAGCCAACACGAATGAATATTCACGATACACCGCAGGTTTGTTACGAATGAAAATTTGTTGTAGTGACCCAAGGGCGAGTGTTTGATTAGTATCGTCTTAGAAATAATTGTGTTCGGGTAATAGGATGAAAGGATGTACATGGAGGTGTCTATCGAGAAACATTGAGCAATATAGAACGAGCAGATACTCGTGTGACGTGTATACGTCAGGTTTTCTGTTCGATTTTCATTAGAATTGTAGGCTATCATGATTGTTTCCGGTGTAGCCTTAATTTCACGATTGTCGATATTTTATATCGAACTTGTATGTATTCTATAAATAGTATCCTAAATCTGTACGTACCGTCGTCGTGTTTCTCTGAAACGACGTCTTTAAGAAATCATACATGCAGAAAAGTGTTCTACCTAGCATAGAAACCCCAGGGAATATTATTGATTTCTTCTTATTTTGACAAATTTGGCTTGTAGTTGTCTAGAAAGAGCCTATAATGGCGCGTAGTACCAAGAAAGGTAAATACCGGTTATTCAGTCACTGAATTTAATTTCTATATTTGCAGATTTTGTATTTGAATTTATTGTTGCTGACTTTCACAGCATATTATACATGCACATTACCCATATAAGACATTAACATCGGACTGGAAGTCTGCAGTAGGAAAGCAGGCCGTGTGAGTTGTGCTAGGGACTTTTTGCGTATATTTGAGCGCAGACAATTAACCTGTTTATTGAAGTGAGGTATATCTCCTTTCATTTCACATCACTTGAACGAAATATACTCATATATCCTATCGTTAGAATATAATATGAGATGGTACGAGTTTTTGTGAACACATTACGTTACAGGTCACCATTAGATTCGATCCTGAGCCAGTTATACCCACCCCTCACTCACCCTTGGGTCTCTATCAAACATCCTCCGTAATGCTGTCTTCCATCTCTGTCTCGAACTTCTAAATGCACGGCGTAGAAGAGGTTTCCCCGTTAAAAGTATGATTCCGTTCATAGTCACAAACCCAGTCCACCGAAGACCCTTAGATTTGACAATTTTAATTTTTTGGTTACGTGTATAGCTCAAGAAATTTCTTGTTATGTAATATCCCAAATTGCTCACATACGTTATAGTTTTTATATTTAAGTGTTCTTCTCAGAACTTTGTTTTCATATACTATCCTCTTCGGTCAGAGTAAGAGACTGTATTTTGCATCCTTATAAAACTTACGTCAGAATTATTTTATAGTTCCTATTAATTTGTGTTTCACTTTGAGTGTAATCAGACGTCACTTAATAACGAAGACGGCAGTCTTCTGAGTTCTTACACCATGTACCGACGTTTCTATCATCAGGGAAATCGCCTTGTTGATGGAGGCATAAGCACATCCGAAACGTCGGTAAACATTACACGGCGCAACAACCCAGAAGACATTCATCTTCATACACACTGCAGTGCCGAAATATACGTAGACGAAGAAAATTAAATTCTTCGAAGATCACGTTTGGAATCTGTTCCACCAATCTGGAATTAACCTTCGTTCTCTTCTTTGAAACTATTTCATAGACACAGTTTCTTGAGATTTTTCCTAGAAAATTACCCGTCAACAGTTATCAACAAACAAAGGAAAATCTTCCTTAAAACACTTTTGCGTTGAAAAGTGTAACAAGGCATCATACACAAATTAAAATAATTGTTTATCTTTGCTTAATTTCACACTCGTACAATTGTAAGAGACTAATGTAACTTTGTGAGATTTCACGTTTTCATAGCGGCGAGTATGAAGATGGTTGTGTTGCGGGTAGTTGCGCCGTGTAGAAATTTATCCATCATTACAGCTCTATCGCCGTGATGATGGAGGCAGAAAGTGCCTGCCTTCTACCAGACTACACGGCGCAACAGCCCAGAAGACAGCCATCTTCAGAGGTAAATTTATCCCAATATCTTGAAACACGCCGTGTGAACACATGAGTTTGGATGTAAAGTTCCAGGATTCTGATCCACGATAGTTTGTAGAATCTTCTGGATATCGAACTAAGGGGAATTATCCTGCCTCACAGTTTGGGGTGTGATCGCTGCCACATTGCCTGCTCTCTTTTTTTCTCTCGGGGAGTTTGTTTGCGTCGCAGAGAAGGAATTAAAGCCCTGTTTTTCTTGAATTTTTATTAGATCTGGCCACAGTCTGTGATTCTGCTGCATCTGTACATTATCAGGTTCTTACAGATGTAATTGAATTTATATACTGACGTTCTCCATTCGCATCTGTCTTTTCAGGTAACTTGAAGCTATTGCGATGGGTTGCTTCGGAAGCAAAGACAAACTTTCGAGAGAGGATATGGAGTTCCTCAAATCCCATACCAGATACGATGAAGCAACAATCAAAGAATGGTACAAGGGATTTAAGGTATGTTCAGTTAATATAAAGGCTCTAAGATTTCCAATACATACATAGGTTTAAAGCTTACGTGTTTATAGGCTACGAACAAGATTTCTGATTTAGGATCCTGCTTACTTCTGAAAATAATGTGTATTTAGCAGTATGAGCGAATGAATGTCCCTCATGGTGACGTTTTAACAGTAACAGTTTTGCGTTAATAGAAATAAGTAACTAGAAATTTTTGCTAAATACAACCTAACAACTTCAAGAAGTACTCCACCATCAGATGATGCATTATTTATTTCTTACCTGTTTTAACGTCCATTAACTCTGCATATCGCCCACGTAATCCGACCGTGGAAATAATTTGGTTTGTCATTAAGAGACTGAACTTCGCAACGGTGATGCTATTATCTTTAGGAAAGAACCGCATTATTAAATATTCGGTGGTATTTGAGACTTTGTTTGCACGTGTAATTTTTATCAGGACTGTTTACTCCGAATAATATCTTCTGGATTGTTGTTCTTACTATTGTTTCAAATGCACGGAATTATTGTACTCGTATGATTTACGTAACTGATGTTTGTAATTAGTATACTCTATCAGGGGTATTTTTGCGGGACGCTGCCTTCATTTTGTTACGTGTACTAATCGGTGTTCAACTGCGTAGCCAGAATATGACTGACGGTTTTTACAATATAAGAATTTTTTCTGTCGATCTGCATGGTATTTTAGGCCTTAGTAGACTTTCTGGTTTAACTCACGCATTCCGGGCCGGATTTACACTTACTGCAGCCCTGTCTAAGCATTATCAACCTTGAGAAATTGATAGCCGTTTTATCTGGTCAAGAAATGGTATGCTTTTATGGGAGATAGAGGTTCATTACCGTGTTTACAAAATTTTGACACAGGGCCCTAATCTACACCAAGGTTCATATATACTCTACATGATCTTTTCGTGTGTACCCATCTCATCTTGATTATCTCGATATGAAATTCTTCATTATACAACTTTCTCCACCCTCCAGTTACTTTATCCCGCTTAGATCCAAATATTGTCCTCAACTCCCTGTTCTCAGACACCCCTATCAACGTTCTTGTCTTAATGTGACAGAAAAAATACCACAGTTATACGGAACGACAGGTAAAATTATAGTTTAGTAGGTCTATACTGTATTTTAATATCTATGTTGTTGGACAGTTGGCCCCACAACAAATGAAGAAATTGATTATTTTAAAGAAAGAGCTATGTAAGTAATGCATTGAACTTGCGTATGATTACTGACGCAGATGTAACGAATAGACTAGTGTTACGCAACTTTCCTACACTCGCGGCACACTAAATATTGTCGAAGAGTCATAGCGGCAACCAACCCCATTTTGCATATTGTAGATGGTTTATGGCATTGATTAGCCGCGACAACTTATAAATCGACCCCAACAGAAAAATGTTCTATTTGATGTTCATAATTATCCGTCTTTATTATTATGATGTCATTTATGTTAAATATATTGATTATTTGAAATAAATTAAAATATAATATTTCCTACCGTTTCATCAAGAATTTATTACTATTTGTAAACATTTAAACTTAAAGATACTTATTTGTACATGTAGATTGCAGAAAAATACATAGAGTGGCAATAAAAATAAAGGGGAGATACACGTCTTTCTGCAAAGTGGTTGTGTTGTTTTCCAATTCCATTTAGTAGATCTTGTCTGTCCTCAGTCTGCCCGATCATAATAAGGAAAGTGAAAACTAGACATAACAGAAAACAAGATTAACAATTATGTGTCTCATTATGGTTATAATTATAATATTTCGTGGCACACCTAGATGACCTCCGCGGCACATCGGTTACGCATCACTGGAATAGACTATTGTCCGATTTCTTTAAAATGCATCTTTTATTTATATTACAGTAAGAGCAGCTAAGGGCTTTGCAGTGATATTATAAATATATATATCGTATATTTAAGCCCTTCATAATGAGAAATCGTAAGCTGAGACTTCATTTATACATAAATCCGGCATTACATGAAATTTTCCCTTTTGCTATTGCAGAATCCTTGCGTGGGCTTTACGTCGGCATATTAATATTAATGCATATTAATGAAGACTTTGTATTGAAATTTCTGAGGGATTCTGTGTGTTGAAGTTTTTAATACTTGGAAAGCTTATTTTCCTTTGTAACTCCGCCACCGCCACCGCCTTTGTCATTTCTGTGTGGAGGTTAAAGTAAGAGAGACAGACGTACGTGTATATAGTACAATTCTGGCAGAAAAATATTAAAATATGCGCGGCTGTTAACAGATGGAGCGATAGTAGAAAGTAGCGTTACGCTGTTGTTACTGAAAACCAGCGATTTTAATGAAAATGTAAGGAAACTTTGGGTTTGAAAGTAAGACTTTGGAGGAATAATGGTTCCGTTTTGACGAATGTTAGTATAAGTTTTTCATCACCACCTCTAGCAGTCTGCCATTTTCGATGTACAATATGCAATCATGAGTGCGTGTGAGGTTCCGATCTAACATAACTTTCTTTGAGGAAAAAGGAATAAAGAAATATCAAAAGCCTAAACTAATCCACTCGATACTTTTAATTCAACTGAAGCGACTGTGTGTATATTGTATTTAAGTTAACAAGAAATGTGTTGTGCAACTTCGACTTTTAGGGATGAGCCGCGTAGAATATTGAGAATTATCCAGTGTTTCGGCTACTTTTCATTGCCATATTTAGGGTAAATATGTGCTGTATAGGAGCCCTC